GCGGCACTGGGAGCAGAGTGGTAGTAAAATATGGAGTGGATGCAGCATCCTCCCAGCGCCACCGGTGTCTGCTCCAAGCTCAGCCCTCATCGAGAAGAGCCCCGTGCAGCCCCAGCTGCAGCCCACCCAACCCCACTCTGCACAGATCCGGGGGACACGCCCCCCCCCGGTGCCCTCCCAGGGTGCAAGTAGCAGCGGGAACCGCCTCCTCCCCATGAGCCACAGTTCTGGCCCCCACTCCCCCTCTGCCTGAGCAGCACCTGCCCCTGCCCCCTCCCTCACTGCAGGGGGCATTGATCTGCCCCCCATGCCCCTTCCCTCCCCCTCCCCTTCCACCACAACAGACTTACCAGCTGGAGGCAACTGTATCGGAAATTGGATTGGTATTAGCTGATATGCCTCCTTAAATATTGGCTATCAATATCTGCCCCAAAAATCTCTATTGGTGCATGCCTAACCATAAGAATAAGAGGAGAACCAGGACAGAAAAAAATGTCACCTTGAAAGGAAGGTATAGTAGAAATTAAAAGCAATCACATATGGCTTAAACTGAATGCTTTGCCTCAGTTTTCAAAATGGATGATGGTTTTGAACATGGAGTTTTATAAAACTAGGAAGGTAAATGGGATTGAGGATGTGGAAATTGCCACAGGTGGAGTGAAAGCAGAGCTCAAAGAGTTTAAAGCATTTAAGTTGGAGAAAGGGATAGCTTCCCTCCTGAAAAGACTGGCACATGAAATTGCAAGTCTGGTAGCTCATATTTTTTAATAGAGCTATTAAGTCAGGGCTGATATCATGTCATTGTAACTGCAGTACTTACATTTGAGAAGGTGGAGAAAGGGATTGGTCCAAGCAACTAAAGGCCCATTAGTCTGACCTTAATGAAACACAAAGCTTTTGTTGAATGTATAATTGAAGACATGAAGGTAAATTGAAAATGGTAAAAATGCAGCATGGTTTTACTGATAGTGCATTCTTTGATATCATGTCATATGGGATGCCATTAGTTAAACTAGAGAAGATGGGGTTTAGTGAAAGAACTGTAGGGTAAATGTAGAACTGATTTAAGGGTAGATAGCAACAAGTAACATTGAAAGAGGAAATATCAGGTTGGAAGGAGGTTAGTAGTGCAGATCTACCAGGATTTATCTTGGGACCAGTCTTCTTTTAATATTTCCATTAATGGCCTTGGCACAAAAAGTCAGAGTAAACTAATGAAACCTGCTGATGACTAAAAGATGGACATTACCAGTACCAGTGGTTCTCAACCTTTTCAGCCTTAAGGGATCTGTCCATAAGTTTTTCTGAATTTAGCGGCAGCCTGGGCTGCTGGTTGAGATTTACTGAGCCAGAATCCAAATTCAGAATAGTTACAGAGGGCTGCCTTGAGACTAAAATGTTTTGAGAAACACTTATCTAACTGGTGCCAGGGGAGAGCGAGGTGGGCACAGGACCTTACCCTGCACTACCCCCTGCTTTTTACCACCTGCCCCCACTACCTCTGGGTCTCTACTTGATGGTGGTCCCTTTGAGTCCTGTGCTGCTTTTGCTATTCAGGAAGTGGAACAAGATATTAGTGTCTGTGTAAGATACCTTAATATCACTATACCTGCTGCATCTACAGTCTGGGTTGTACTGGTATCGCTTTAGATCAGTAAAATAGTTTCCAAATAGTTCTAAAATAGTGGAATGAAAGGTATGTGTAGAGGCAGAGCCGTCTCTAGGGGTGTATGGGGCCCAGGGCATATCAGCCTGCGTAGGGCCGGGGGAGTGGGGGCAGTGCCTGCCTGCAGAACCTGGCAGTGGCCGGGGGGTGGGGGGGAGGGAGGGCCCAGGGTGGTCACCCCGATTTACCCCGCCCCGCCCCACTCCCCCGGGACGGCCCTGTGTACAGGAAGCCTTAGTGACCTGTCCAGGATTACACAATTAGAGTAGTATCAGGGCTGTGATGCCAAAAGTGAGAGTTTCCAGTCTTGCACACTAAGTGCTAGATTTATTGTACTAGGCACCTGCTTGTCAGGTGTCCTCAATTTTATCAAAATAGTAAGAGAGTGCACACAGGAAGTTACCATCAGTTATGCTACATTCTCTAAATTCACCCCCTAACTTACTTTAAGGTCAGGCTGTCCAACTGGTGGTTTCTGGGCTGTATGCAGCCTGCAAGGAGTTAAATTGCGGCTTGAGCTCTCATCTGACTGCTGATCCATGCATTGTGCCAACTGCAACAGCAGTCAGAGTCTTTGGGCTCCCCCCTCCCTCTTCTGGCAGCTGAGCCATGCAGTGCAGGGAGCTGAGAGTGAGACTGGGCCAAGTGGGTAGGGGAAGGGGGAGATGTGGATTAGGACTGTGCAAGGCAATGGTGGGTGCCATGTGTGGCCATGGCTTCCAGGGTTTGTGGTCCCTGGGGGCTTAGCAGGTGGACAGCCCAACTTTAAGGTAAATGTTTTTCGTATGTCCTTACCTATAATCTGAAAGGGAGTGTTTTGTATTCTAGGAGATTTTAACAACAATTCTTTAAAATACAGGAAATTACTGTGACTGTTGCAGGACCTGTATTGTGCTTTAAGTTGATCCCACAGCAAGAGTTCTGTGGTTGCAAGCAGTGATGTGGTAATGCACTGTAGCTGCTGTTTAATATTAACATGCCTGTTTTTATCTGCTTTGTTTGGATGAAGAGATCAATGTTTGCCAAGAGGGAAAAGGGCAAAATGAATTAGATTGGGGGGGGGGGGGGGGGGGCCGCGGTGTATGTAACTTCCCATTTTCAGGCTTCTGAACTGGTATACTTAGAACACTGAGAGTAAACCCAAACCAGGCCATGGTGAAACACTGTTTCCCCAGGTTATGAAGCTGCTTAAAACCAGATGGGTAAAGGAAGTAGAAAATAATTAAATAGAAGCAAGTTTTGTGTTGCAGTTCTTGAGTATATCATCTTAATACTTGTCCCTGTGACCTTGTAAAATAGATTGTTGGTATCTTAACTTTTCTTTACCAAATCTTAACTCAATATTCTTCCAAAAGCAATTGAAATTACATTTTATAAGAAAAGCATTTTATAACTAAATATCTTAAAACAAGGAACCCAGCAATGGGATGTGCAGCATGGGGGAGCTGCAGGGGTTAGTGCAGCCATCACTCTCCTCCTCCATTGTCCCCACTCCTGCTGTTCACACGGAGCTTCATACCCTGAATTTCAGTGGCAGACCCTACCCCTAAATTGCCTGTCCCTCCAGGAGCCCCACCAGTCCAGGTGACATGGCTCTCTGGTCCAGATCCAGCCTATGGGCCATATATTTGACACCGCTGTCTTAACAATTCAGAGCTAAATCTTGCAGGGTTTTGTGCAGGCACAGCTCTCTAAAATAAACTTGAGGCTTGATTGCAGTAAATACTGCAGGATCAGGGCCTTGTTCATAGTTTTGGAAACCTGCTTGCACTATTTGTATTTTCAGGAAGGGTCAGTCTGCTTCCTCTTTTTGGTTGCAATATTTACACTGTTCTCATGCTGCAATTCCTGCTAGGAGATAAACTGAGACTCTGTGAATTGGAAAGAAGCTTGATTGTCATCAACTATCTTAGGTCTTTTGAATGCTGAGCAAAGCACAAACCTGTTTTAGCTATTAAAATGAACGTATGTAGCATAGCTGCCACAGCGGGCCATACTGAACTTTATCAATAAGACACAGATTTCTTTGAGGGGAGTCAGAACACTGCATGTTCAACATAAAGGGAAAATTAAGATCATTCTCAGCTGTTATGTCATTACCTTGGGCTCATTAATTTTGTGGAAGAGTTTTCTGTGCACTGTTTAATTTTGGGGGTGCGTCTTATACTGGCAAAAGATGCCCATCTGACAGTTTTGGAGACTGGAGGCCTACGTGTAGCCTTAGAACAGGTGCAGCATGAGCAGTCCTGATGCAAGCTTCTCCTTTGCCTCTAATCTGGCCTGAATACTTCCCCTCTATCGGGCGCTGGTCAGACCGCAGTTGGAGTACTGCGTTCAATTTTGGGCGCCACACTTCAAGAGAGATGTGGATAACCTGGAGAGGGTCCAGAGAAGGGCCACTCGTATGGTTAGGGGCTCGCAGGCCAGGCCCTATGAAGAGAGACTGGGGCCCCTGGACCTCTTCAGCCTCCGCAAGAGAAGGTTGAGAGGTGCCCTTGTGGCTGCCTATAAGTTCATCACGGGGGCACAGAAAGGAATTGGTGAGGTTTTATTCACCAAGGCGCCCCCGGGGGTTACAAGAAATAATGGCCACAAGCTAGCAGAGAGCAGATTTAGACTAGACATTAGGAAGAACTTCTTCACAGTTAGAGTGGCCAAGGTCTGGAATGGGCTCCCAAGGGAGGTGGTGCTCTCCCCTACCCTGGGGTTCTTCAAGAGGAGGTTAGGTAGGCATCTAGCTGGGGTCATCGAGACCCGGCCCTCTTTCCTGCCTATGCAGAGGGTTGGACTCGATGATCTACTGAGGTCTCTTCCGACCCTAGAATCTATGAATCTATGAAGGGGGCCACTGCAGGACCAGGCCTAGAGAGGTTTTGCTAGTACAGGTTTCCCTCGATTTATGTGGTACATGCATTCCTGGAGAACGGCGCATAAATCGAATTCTCATAAAGCGAACCCACATTATAATGTAACAACTAGGGATAGGTTCCCATGGCAGGGAGGGAGGGAGTGAGGCTGGGACTAGGGAAGGGAGTGAGGCTGGGACTAGGGAAGGGGCACGGGGAGGGGTGTCACTCCTGGGGCTGCACAAGGGAGCAAAGCAGAGAGAATTGTCAGTGAGTGCAGGGTGGGAGGGCACGGCTCTTGCTGTAGGAGGGGCTGGGGTGAATGGGGACAGGCAGAGGTCAGGGGGGCAGGTGGAGCATGGTACAGCCCAGCAGATGCAGGCAG